TTCAAATTGTTCTACAGGATTTATCGCTTGGCCATTACGTACAGTGCTTTCAACAGTCCTTCTGTCCAGCTCATTTATTCTTTCACAAAGAACACATTGTTTTAAGAGTACTTCTGTCTGAAACTTGGATTTTCTCAACAGTTTAAAAAAGAAGGGCGGAGGTGCCATTCCTAGCAGTCAACCCACAGGCCTCAACTGGCTCTGTTTTCTTCTGTTTGGCTCTTAGCCTTCCCCAGGGGGGTTGCAAACCCAACTCCTCCATCGGCTACCCACTCACAGTTGAGAAACTAACCGCATTGTCTTGGGATAAGGATTTTTCTGTTGTCCTGTGTTCTACCCAGAGATGGCGTGGGAGATGTTATTTAAACTCCTGTAAAACTATTTCCTCTTTTCAGGCCTTCGAGTTCGGCAGTGACGGTGTGTGCTTTTATGCACATGTGGACAATCTCTCTTTGTCTCTCCCAGCCCTGTCTCTTCCTCCCTGCCGTGTGTGTGTGTGTGTGTGTATGTATATATCCGTAAGCTATGCTGAAATGGAACTGGAAAAGGTATCCTGTTTTGTGGAAACAAACTAAGGGGACAGTCAGAAAGACTTTAAAGGAACTTGAGCTCAGTTTACTCAGTAAAAACAGATACAGTATGTGATGACACTGACCATGTTTGCACTTAACATTTGGTTAATTGCCCATATGAGCAAGCTGGTACACAAATAATTGCAGACAGACTGAATTTAGTTAGGACCAAATAACAACTCTCTTGCTCAGAGGAAAGTGAACCAGATTACTGTTAGTGTGAGTGAAAGATGGTTTGTGAATGACACGTGTGTCTGAGAGGGTGTAGTTGTTTTTATAGCTGAAGACCCCAAAGGAAGAAAGAAGTGAATCCATGGTCATTTAGCAAATGTTATATACTAGTTAAAGGTTTGTGGAAAATGAGATTTTCGTTTTAGCACCACAAGGAATTTCATTGTGAACTCCTGGTGATTAATTGCTATTTTTATTGTATTTATTCCCTCACTATATATTATACTTTAGAATCATGCAATTACTATAATTGCATTTGAATTATTTACAGTAATTATAAATAATTGCACTAATGTAACATCAAGTAGAGGATAAATACCCAAGGGCAATATGTGAAATCAAGAACCCAGATACTATTCAGAGGAGCATGAAGAGTTTAGTTCAGCAGACAAGTAATTGAGGAAGGGGAAAGCATGCTTTTTTAAGTTACTTACATGCTGTTATATCTTAATTGCTAATAGCTTGTCCTGTCACCATCACTGACAAGTAGGAAAGTGCTTCTCTGTTCTGTTATATTCTTGGGTAACTGAAGCATGGAGTTGCTCTGTGTGGTCTCAGGTGAGATACTTCATGTCTTTAGTGGATCCAAGATACTTTGGATAGGACTCCAGAATTTCTATTACAAATACAAGCCATTTTTTAAAGGAAGGTCATAACATGAGTCTTTATATCCATTATAATTTAAAGATGTAAAAGTTCCATTACGCAGTCAGTTTCCTTTTGATCGTTAGTTGGATCTTTATTCTTCATATATAAATTTTTATTGGTAGTTATTCCCTTCGTTTTCCCACTCACATCATCAGAAAAAGCTGGAGAAGGAGGTAAGTTGATGGATAAACTACCTATTGGCTTAATGAATTTGGACTTTTTATGTCATTCAACTGAAAATTTTTATGTTAAAGAAGGACATATGATTCCAGTCTGCTCTATGCTGGAGGTGTACTGTTAGCTGAGAGCTAAACATAGGAGCCTTGTGCTGGAAAAGACTTACTGCAGTTGTTTAAGACCCTTATCTAAGGAATGCTGAGGTAGTGTGTTAAGGAAGTCCATGGAAAAAAAAAAGTAGAAATTCCTTAACAATTGATTTTGTGACTTACAGAAAGTCTGTAATAGGTCTTTTAAAAAGTAAGGAGGTATGAGGACAGATGCAAGTTACTGAAAATAGAAGAATTGGCCTGGACTGATTGCTGATTGCCTAATCCATTTTTTTCACTGGTATCTGCAATTGAGTTGCTTCTGGACCTAAAAGTCTTGTCCTTGATCGTTGTCCTCTGCCTTCTGGTGCCAAGAGCAGCAGGCATTCTTGGCTGGTACAAAGTATGGATCTGAAAGTCCTTTATCACTGCTTTGTTTGGTTTGCCTTCTTAGGATGTCCAGCTTGAGCAGACTTTGCACACTGTGCCCCTTGGTCTTTATCTTTCTCTGAGGATGATTCTTAAACAGCTCATGTTGACACTGTGAACCAGTTCAGGGAAGAGCTTGTTGAAGTGACATTATGTTGAGGGATAGGTTTTGCAAAGAAGTGCCAAGACTGGTGAAAAGCAGAAGTGGGAATGGGGAAAATAATAAAGGAAAGAGGAAAGATGTTCAGGAGAATTTTACAGTCTCAAGAGTAAAGCAAACTGTAGATTCCTTTCGGTACTATCTTAAAAACTCATGTTGGCTGCAAAAGTCAACGTGGGTATGAGTTAAAGACCTGTAGACATCTCCACCCAGCAGAGTGGAAGAGCAGTGTGGAAGCAGAGTGCCTCTTGTACTACATCCTGATGGGACAGCTCATCTCCGGTCCCATCACGCAGTTAGCTGCATGAGTAGTAAAGCTGTAGTGATGAGTACTTTCCCAGTCACTGCTGATGAGATAGCATTTGTGGCATGCACTTTTCTTCAGGAGGAGGCCCCAGGTGGGTTGATGACTTGGGGCATAGAAAGCATCTCTTGCATGCTGAGACAAGGAGCTTTTGTCTTCTGAGCCTCTGCATGAACTGGAAGCAGCTTCTGTTAAATCTGAATGCAACAAATCCATGGAAACTACTGCTTTGAGGAGGAGGATGCTCCTTCCCCTCTAGCACTCTTGTTCACTGGCAGTGGGGCTGTCACTGCTGTTCTCACCAGCATTCAACTGATTTGTGTCTCCAGTTGTGTTACGGGGAAGATACTCTAAGTACCAGTGGGTATGTTGAGGCTTCCTTCACTGGATGTGGTCCTGAAACAGGAATGCTTCAGTGTGCAGAGTCCTAAATGATCTTTTGAACCAGGAATGTAGTTCTGAGTCATGATGGATGATGTACCAAGTAAACCTGAATTTACAGCCCCAATAGTGTATTGCAGTTGCAACTATCTGTTTTTCTTGGTTCTTTCTGCTTTGCTTGCCATTGTTTTGTTCACTAACGTCTTGTGCATGTAAAAACTTTCAGTGCTGAAGAGGTGGGGTTTGACTGGGTTTTTTTACATTTAAAGAATGTGAAAACAGTGTAGCGAGGTTGTTTTGTTTTTTGCTACTTAAAATTGTCTTGGAACTCTCATTAGTGAGGAGGATTCTCAGAGCTCCTTTAGATTTGCTTTTTTTGGTGACCACCTTAAATACTGCAGTATTTTGGTTTTTGTCTCTCTCCCAAATGACTGAGTTAAAATACTGTTTAGGAATGTCTGTCCTTGGTGTGTATGTATGTGAATGTGAAGTATGTGTTTGCAGAATGGACATCATGCCCTGCTTTAGGCAGATAGTGGGAACTTCACAGTATATGGCTATTTTAAAAGCCTTTTTTGTGTCTTGATTATTGTATGTAATTCACCAACCTTATGGGGCATGTATAGTCTGAGAATAAGGTAATAACATATGATTTACCTGACCACAAAGATAATCATGTTTACTTGAGTTTAGGATTGAAACCATATTTGTAAAATATGCAGTGATGTGTCAGATCCTTTCAGAAAATTAGTTAATTCTCATTGGCAAAGGCTTTTGTTTTATTCTCTTGGCTGGAACACGTGGGAACTGTGTATAATCTGTGCTGCAGGTTGGAAAGGTTAGGCTTCATCTTCATAATGGTTTTTGCAATATACTTGGTCAGTTGGATTTAAGAGTAGATTACTCTGTGTGATGTCTACAGTAGACTTTGGGTTTTCACAACTTTAATAATGCAGAAGCACTAAATAATTTTAGGTTGCTAACAGAAAGTAAGTAGCAGTTGGGTAGTCTTCAATATTAGTTTTTTTCTAAGATGTTACTCTTATAATGTTTATAAGTCTTCCTAAGATCAGAGTGAAAGAATTGAGAACATGAAAGGTAAACTTGTAGGTCATCTGTTAATATGAGGAAATTTGATTATACTTATCGATGTTTGTAATTACATTTGTAAATTTGAGCTAATATTTTGAGAAAATTTTATGCACAAGTCATACATGATCATGTATAACTTCTTGGTGACCATGATGTAATATACTTCAGAGAGCACATATTTCATTCACATTATTCCATCTCTGACAGTTTCTTTTGTTCTGGAATAGTTTCATGGTGAGGGAGTGTTCATTAGTATTGGCTGATCCATTTATTAATGAAACATGAGGTGTACAGGCTCATAGAATCACTTTGATCTTAGTTGCTTTTGTTATGTTCTGTATCTGGAAAGACTGTCGTCACCAAAAAGAGTCATTAAAGGTAGATCCAGGATTTCTAAAATTCCGAACTATGCAGTCATTCTTCTCTTGCCGCCAACACTACTGCAGGGTATCTGTAAACCTGTCCAGACAAACCTGCACTTGTCATTAAAAATTGTAGTTGGCGTCTTCGGGTATGAGAGGAATGGCTGATTAAATTGATCATTATGGCTGACTGAGTGATCATTAAACAGTGCTCTTGGTGATAATACAGACTATTTTAAAAATAAAACTAATGAGAAAACAACTTTCACCATGTATGTGATAGTATTTTTTTAAACGTTAATGCTGAATTATAGTAGGCTATAATCTTTTCTTGAGCACTTCAGAAAATAAAGAAATAAAATGCCTATCAGATATGAAGTAGTGGTGTTTTGTCTTTGTTGCCTGAGGCAGCCCTTTAAGTAGCTGTCTCAATGTTTTGTATGGCAAAATCAAGGACAAAAATGTGCTTGGTATACACTTTACAGTAAATAACTTGTGTTGTGGTTTTATGTATTAGATACAGAATTACATGTATGAAATATCTCCTTATTCCAGGAAAAACATTGGTGGCTGATGCACCTGATGGACACAAAGCTCACTTCTCTCAACAGACCATGCTTAACAAAGGACTTAGCAAGTCTATGGGATTCCTGTCCATTAGAGGAACGCAAGGCGAGGAAGAATTTTTCCAGGGCATTTCCGCAGATTACAACTTGGGACAGGAAGATGTTTTCTGTCCTCATAGGTGTAAAACCAGGGAGCTTGAAAAAAAAGGTTACTTTCATACAGACGTCACTCCCAAGCGGAAAGTATGGGCTTCCTCCACAGATTTGCTTTGCACAACTGAGAAGGCAGCTGAGAGGGACCATGTTGGAGGCTCTCACAGGCACAGCCATCAGTGTGAAACATTTACAGTACGGACTTCTACTGCTACCAGAAGCAAGGAAGCAAGATACTCTGATGGGAGCATAGCACTGGATGTCTTTGGACCACAGAAACTGGACCAAACACGGCACGTGCCCGAGACATCAACTTCTGCAGCAATATCAAGTGCCTTTGACAGGATAAGAGAGAGACAGAAGAAGTTGCAGCTTCTGAGAGAAGCTATGAATGTAGAAGGTCAGTGAAACTTTTCAATTTTTTGAGCATTAGTCATTAAACAAAGATTTTTCTGTGATAAATCTGAGTTCTTTTGTAGGTGCTCTCAAAACTGCTGAGATCTTCACTTTGTCGTCTTTTTTTAGGTACAGTGAAAGCATTAGAACATCTGTTGCCAATGAAGATAAATGTGGCTTTCTAGATTGCTTAGCTCGTGAAAATAGTTGATCTAAGTTAGCCAGTGTCAAGTAAATTAAATTAAAATTAGAAAAAGAAGAAAAAAAAAAAGGTAGCAACCAACTGTCAGGTAATTTTCTTTGAAGAAAAATCCTCATCTCCAGCTATTACAGATGGATTTGTACCTTAGAGGAAAGGCAGAGTTTCATCTCCCAGTATCCCAGGTTTTGCACTGTTTAACTCTAGATGATGCAGTTAAGCCCTTCGATGTGAAAAGTTTTTAGACTCTGAAGATCTTTACCTCAGTGGGAGTACTTGACAAGTTCTGTTAATTAAAAGAACTCATGGGGAAAAAGAAAAGTATTTGTATTTAGTTCTGTGGAAACTTACAAAATGGTCATTATGGAGAACCCTATAAGAGGAAATGCATAATTTGTTTACTTTGAAAATGTGATGTGATTTTCAGGGGTTTTAAGTTTGGGACACCTGGCTAGAAACTGTGAGCAGAGTCGTATCCTGCCTGTGATGGGCCAGAAGGCATAACGTTGTCATCTAAGGAATTTATAGTTATATGTTCAAAGCTAGCTCAGTCATTTATTCAGGTACATTCAAAATTCATGTGGCTCAAAACTCATGGCTGCCTGACTGTTGTGTGACAAAAATAATTGGAGGGGACATCACCAAACAAAGAAACCCCAAACACTGATAACCCCCAACTTTCACATTCTTTTCTTGTACTGAGTTGTAAACACCTCCTTAATAAGGAGAAATTATAAGGCCTTTTATCAGGGTTGAATTTCTGTTCATGACCCATGCAACCATCTCAGGAGATGCAGGATATTGCAGTTAACATGGAAAGCCAATTCTTTCTCTCCTATGCATGTGAGCCTTGTACTCCATAAAGGAGTGTTACTGAAATGGTATATGCAGCTTAAAAAGCTACTGTGATTTCTGCACAAGTTATGGTTTAGGCCCAGGTAGATCTAAGTGCCATGTAGCTGCTTGGCAGAATGGGGAGGAGAATAAGAAGAAAAAGGCAAAACCCGTGGGTTGATACAGGGACAATTTAACAGGACAACACAGGGAGAGAAGAAATAACAACAATACTAATTAAAGAATATACAAAGATACGCAATGCCCAGCCCCACCTGAGCCAAGATCCTGCTTCCATCCACCTCCCCCAGCTATGTCTTGTGCCTGACCTCATAAGGTATCAAATATTGGCTTGGCCAGTTTGGGTCAGCCTCCTCCTAGCTTCTTGTGAAAATTAACTCTATCCCAGCCAAACCCAGTTTTGTGGACAAGACAGCTAGAATTTTTTGTTCTATCAAGTTAGCATCTTCCAATGAGGGTTACATTGTAATGTAAGGGAATGAACATAGGTGGAAGTAGTACTGTGGAGATACCATTGTTTAGCTTAATAGAAGTTCACCATCTGTCATTATCTACAGGATGATTGATGAGGTACAGGGAAGGTTGGTTGGTTTTTGGTTTAGAGTCTGAAATCGAAGGGGACCATCTCAAGTGTGTGAGTCAGCTCAGATCTTTGGAGATAGGCAGCTGACAAAGTTTAAGGGGAGGCCACACCCTGCGTTGGGAAAGCTCAGTAGCCTTGTTGTTCAGGAGTGCAGGTTTGTGTTACACAACAGCAAAACCAAAAGCTCGGTCAAACCCGTTGATGAACAAGAGTTTATCATTCTCATTGAAACGGTTTGGAAGACAGCAGAAAACGTAATGTGCCCATGCCTTGCAAACTGAGATCATTCAGATGTGTGAAACTACTCGATTTGTGAAGGGAATGGGTGAAAGTGCAGTCAAAGTAAACTTGGAACTGGAACTTAATAGTTACAGGAGCTGAGTGACAAATCTTTGTGGGGAAGATTGAGGTAATAGCTAATGACTCACTGCCCATCCTGTGAATTCAATCATTGCTTGCCAGAAAAAAATGAAGATACCTTTCCAAAAGGTAGCTGGGTTGCAATGTTCTTCTTGTCTGAGTTTTCTGCTTTCAACAGAGGAAGGAGGTATGTTTCACTCCTGAAGTTGGGAGTGTGTGTGCTCTGCTGGGTTTTTTTTTTTTAGGCTCTCTGGGTTGTTGGTTTTTTGTCACTTAACTACCTAAAGAAATGTTTTAGGTCAGAACCTATGTGTGAATGTGATTTTTAATGAGAGCCAGTTGAAAGGAATATTTTAATGAGATGGATGGAGAATACTTTTTCACATGGGACTTAGTTGCTATTGTGTCTTATAGGGCTTGAGAAGCCTGACTGAAAGTACTCTCTTTCGCTTTAACGAGCAGAATCACAAAATCCTTAATACATAAGGTCTGTTAGTCTATTAAGTTGTCTTTCCCTTTACTTTTTTTGTTCCGTATGTTTTAATGTTTCTTGTCTCATATCTTGTTTACAACGGATGAGTCCCTTAAGATCCTTCATGAAAAGAGTCTATACCTAGTTTTCTGTCAAAGAAGTGAAAAATACAGTCTGTAGGTTTTTTGTACATGAATATTGTATGTAATTTTCCAGTACTTGGTGGGTCGACAGATGTCTCCAAATGTCAGGTATTATCACACGTGCGTGGAATTGCTCTTCTGACATAAATGTGGCTTAGCTGAGAGAGATGAGCAACTGCATGGAAAGCTGTGGAAAAATCTATCACCTTTCTTGATAAAGGGAGCAGCAGCAGTTTCTTGGTCAGCACTTGATACCCAGCACTTGGGTATCTCACTGCCTACAGCCAGTGGTCGCGTAGCAGATAGGTGGGCAACAACTAGAAGTGGAATGGGAAGAAGTCCACAGAAAATGATGGCAACTACTACTCTTTACCTTCGTGGGACACAGGATGACCTCAGAGGAGAGGCATCAGAAGGAAAAACAAAGACAGAGAATAAGTTTTTTTTGAAAGCTTGTGTAGCCAGGAATAAGGGTTCTGTTAGTGGTTGGGTTTTGTAGAGGGGACACAATCTGCCTTCTCTTTGCTAGGTTTGGGGATATTTTCAATTTGGTTGAGTCTGGGTTACAGTTAAGTCTGTTTAAATTGTAGTCAGCCTCGGCTTTGAGCTTACTTTGGTTTTTCAGTTTTCGTGTTGTGAAGTGGCATTGGGCTCTCTGCGGGTTCAACTTGGACAGATCAGACTTCCCTTCTCAAACTACAGAAGAACATAAGTGACATGAGGCTTAGTTCTTCTTTAACTTCTATTTTGGGTGAAGCTGGCAAACATTTTTGTCATTCATAAAAAATTAAGGAGCTGAGTGTCTTGGAAAAAGAAAATGTTCTCATGCACAGACTCTGGCATGCCAAGCTTTCACTCAGAACAGGTTTTTATGATCCAAATTATAAACTCATGAAAAGTAGAGTTTATAGTGGAAAGGCTGACAGAGCTTTAATTACAGCTCTGCTGTAATAGAGTAGTTTGTAGTGAGCTGCAGACCATCTACGCTACGCTATAATCTACAGTTGGAACATCTCAGATTTAGCCTCACGAGCCTTCCAAAGAATTGTCATTGCAAGTGCCTTGCTCGTGAACTTGCTGTCTTGTATGTTATTCTGCTGTACAGTCCCGGGGTTGAGGTTGTTTATTACTTGTATACTAAAGATTATTGTGATGAGGAGAAGGAGAAGGGAGAGACTGCTACTTAACTTAGGGTGTAACCAATTCTGAACACTAAAAACAGACTCCAAAAAAAATGTGTAAATCTTGCCAAGGGTTGGAAGAGCAAGTTTGGTATCTCCGCAGTTACTTTTCATTCTTGTTTTAGTTATGTAGGTTTTGTGAGCTTAGGCAGAATTGTTCAGAGTTGTGCATTTGCTGGGTATTAGACCCAAGCAGATCTTATTTGTTGGCTTTTTGAAATGTGGAAAATGTTACTTGGCACTGACTGATAGCGTCCCGTTTCAGAGAGAAAATAATGTTTTACCTTTTACGTTCTGCAAGCCTGCACTGCCCCTCAAGAGCATGATAGTGTCATCCGTTCTCCCTTGCTCCTAGTTTTCCTTGCCTTCTCACCCACAAAACTGATTGAATCTTCTCAGCGTTATGAAGCATAAACACGCTTCAGTTTTTGTATCTTGGTCCTGCCTTCAAGTGGCATGAGAGTAAGGCACAAGGTTGTGGGACAGTAGCCTTGTATGCATCTCTCCGTTTCAGTTGCCTTAGGCAGCTCCCCCCCCCCTATTGAGTGCCTAATTCACAGGGAATTGGTTTGTGTTACTCGAGTGAATGTGCATCCTCCTTCTTTATACGCAGTTCTGCTTATGCTGATGTTGTAAATGAGATGCACAAGGGAGCAAGGCATAAAGATTGCCTACGTCCTGGTGCCATACAGGAGCACAAAACCAGTCTGGAGAGCAGTAATGTAGCTGGCTGTGGGTTAAATAGCAGACGGGAAAAAGAGGGGAGGATACCAAAAAAGCCGATAGTCCTGAAGCTTTGGAATGCTGAATCCGGGGGTGGGGGAATGGGGGTGGTTTGGGAATATTCTCAAGTCTTTATTAAGTGTTTTTGCAGTTGGAAACCATGTGAATCCCAGAGCCTCAAGTTATGTTTATTCCTCTCTTTATCTTTGATTTTTTCCAACTGAAAATCCAGATGATTAAATATTCCTTTTTTTTTTTTTCCTCTGGGTGGTTTTGGTTTTGAGCCTTTTTTGTCCCCTTAGCTCTCTGCTTCACACAGTCAGCAAGAGGAGGCAGTTAACAGTCTGTTTCTAGAGATGGATCTCTGCCTACCAAGTCTTCTGTGTCTTTATCTCACAAAATAATGTTTTCATTAGCTACCCTGAAGACTTATCTGGACTCCAATTAGAAAACTTCCATGTTACAATTGCATGTGTTTAGGTGGGGAG